TACAGGATAGCTAACATAGTTGTACTACTGTCTCCTATTGCTCTGCAGAAAGGAACAGTTGATGATTACTTGTTTGATCAATCTTGCATGTCTCTATTTGTTTTCCTTAGAAACCATTTTGAAGATATCAGTAAGTAATACAACAACCATTGTTAATTTGCTACAAATTTGTCTGAAACTCTGTCTTGTTTGTATTGTTCTTATGCTATTTTGTAAATGGATGTCTGTCAATATGTTTTCCTTCTTTTATTTTTAAAATAAATTTTTAAAAAGAAGTTAAGTAACTTCTTATTTTTACATGGAAGATGACAGAGTCAAATCCTTATGTCTCTAGGCACATCTTTAACCAACTAATGTAGAGGATATATGTTGCTTTTCTGGCTTCCTAGCTGCCTTTCATCATATGTCCCAAAAGCCTATTGAATGATCTATGCTTTGCACCTCTGCATGTGAGTGGCGTCCCACCGCCAGCTCCAGGGCAGAGTACGTGATGCAGGTCTGAGTCAGCCTTGAGCAGAATGGGTAGGCACACGCTCAGTGCAGCCTCTTGCAGCTGGGAAAGTGGCCACCTTTTCCCCTCAGCCAGTAAAAGAGCCAGCACTGCATCTGTACCCTCAGGGAAGCCCCTGTGAACCCAGAACTGTACCCCAACCATGGCTGAAGAGGGATCGAGGCGTGAGCCATCAAGGCAGCCAGTAGAATTTTTAGCTCACTACAGACTTCCTCTTTCTTGTTTAGTTCAATTTAAGATGAATTTTCTGTCAGTTGCAAGAGTCAGGCTGGCTATACCTGTATTCCACATCATCAGTAAGAACATCGCTTATGGAGCCCTGGACCTATGTACGTGCTCTGTGGCTTCCTCACTGCTTCCCCCACAACAGTCCTGCAGCGCGTGTTTCAGCCTTGGAAACCATTCAGAAGGTCTGGGACTTTTTAAAACACCTGCAGCTGGTGAGTGGGAGCTGGGAGGTTCCCGTCTCTCTGACCCCAGTGACCTGGCGCAGTTTCTGCTGTGTCATCCTACATCTCCCACAAGACTCACATTCTTTATGGGTAAAACAGGAACAACAGTTCATGGAGTTTATATTTTTAAAATCTAGAACCCCATAGGAGAGGCTTCATTTTGCCAAGTTTCCTCTCCCTTGGCCTCTGTGCCTTAGACTTAGAAGTATGGAAAAGGGAAATAGGAAGGAAACACAACAACAAGAAAAAGACAACAATAGGAAAATTGTTGTGTTTCTTTTTTTGTTTTTGTTTTTCTAACCATGAAACCTTTCTTCAAATGTAAGCCCTTTGCAACTCAGGGCAGAGCCACTGGGCTCACTAACACTTCTGAGAGGCAAAGATCCCCATAAAAGGCCAAGCCTGATGAATGTAATTACTATCTGGGCATATGCAAAAAGAAGGGTCCCCAAAGTGGAATACAGGTGCTGATTCCAGATCCTGCCCGAAGGCATTCTCCTGGACCATCACCCTGTCACCTGGAACCACATGGCATCCTAGACCAGGAGCCCTGGCCTGCCCCTTCTTTCTCAGTTTCCAGCCTGTCCCTGCCCTAACAGCTTCTCATACACATCCATCGTATGAGTATTTGGGAAGAAGACTAGTTTAGTTATAATTGTTGTTTTATGCCATTTGGGAATCCAGTATGGCTAACTTCACGTGAGAGTTCATGTAGTACTCTTCTCCTCTTTTTTTTTTTTTTTTCCTTTGGTTTTTCTCCGGTACCAGGAACCGAACTCAAGACCTTGCGCATGCCAGGCAGGCGCTTTGCCACTGAGCTAAATCCCCAATCCCTCATGTAGTACTCTTAATTTGTGGACTTTGTCAAAACCTTCTTACCTGGAAATGCAATATTAACCTTGCAATTTGGGGGTAAGAGACTCAAAGAAATAGTCCTCTTCCCTCATCCACAATGATGACTTGTTATAGACACAGGCAGCAGATAAAATCAGAAAGGAGCTGGACTACATTCATGAAGAAAAATGTGTGCAACTCTCTCCAAAATGCTCATTTTTTCATGTAGGGCTGTAGATCAAAACTAAGCAATTATGTGGACCTTTGAATTCATCTCACCTTTGGTTTCTCCCCAACCAGTGATATAACATAATGTCCGGTCAGCAACCACATAGTTTGGGGATGGCAGACAAGCTGGGATTACTTTGTCAGTGATGGCAGCAGGACTGAAAGGGAAAAATCAAAAGTTATACCACCAGACACAAGCATGCACAATAGATCAGAACATAAAAAATTGTAATCATTAACTGATTTGAAGGTAACAATATGCAATGGAATTACAATGGTGAACTCCTACCATCTTGTCTAGTGAAACTCTGTATTATCTCTACTGTTTTATCAAATTACTTTCTTATTTCCTATAATGGTTTGAGCAATCTTTCATTCTTACATTGGGCAATCTGAGCAACGTAGTTGAGGACAGTGATACGTAATGTAACAACCACTGTTGATTCATATTATTTTGTCTTGAGACTCTATCACTTTGAATGTTCTTGCTTTGATTTGTTTGTTTGTGATACTGGTATGCTGCTACTGTTCTATTTCTTTGTTTGTTTGTTTCTCATTTACTACTCTCTTTAAAATAAAAAAAATTTTAAAAAGTTATATTGCTGCCCTGCTAGAAACTTCTTCCCTGCATCTGTGGATCCCCTGCCTCAGAGACCAAGAACCCTATGAGCTGCTATTTCCCCACTTCATCCTAAAAGCAACTTTTCATCCTCACAGCTGTCTACAGTTTCCTGTGAACTAAACACATGCAAGGTTCCATTTCAAAAGCATCAGTTGTATATAAGAAACTGCTGGTCTCCGTCACTTCTAGGAGAAGGAACAGCAAAGCCTCATTCTGCATGTGCGTCTTGGACAGGACTGGAATTTTATGACAAGTGCATCCTTTTATGTTACTTTAAGAGGGCATTGATAGGAGGCAGACCATCCAGCCAGGACACTGTCATGAGGCAGACGCTCCTGTGACCACAGGGAATCTCTCCGTCTTTGGGATCTTCAGTCTCCTTATCAGTAAACATCACAAGACCATGGTTGTAAACTGGACACTAACTGAAAGATGATGGAAGTAATTACCTGGCATACGCAAAGTAATATTGTTTCCAAAGAACCTTTGCATGCTTAGAGTTCCAGGGACTCTCAAACATTAGAACTTTGATTTTCAGACCCAATTTTGCTCTAGTGAGTTCAAGAAAAAAAAAGGACTGGAAATGAGAAATGCCCTTTTCTAGCTAAGAGTCATCATTTTTACCAACTTTAAAGCAGATACAGTTTCTGCAGGCACCAGAATAGACCCAGCCTCTTTTCTGGATGTCACTCTATGGATTCCCTCATGGGACCCTGTCTTATACCCTTGGGATGTGGAGGGTGTACAAGGTGCACTAAACTCAAAATGCACTGGCCTATTAGGGAACATTTCCAGGACCAAAATATTACTAATTAGTTGTTCAAGCCATCAGATGACCCCAGGATGACGAAGAAGAAAGGGACCTTACTTTTGAATATTTGCTAAAGGGCTGGGGAGGACATTGGAGAATATGCAGGAAATCAGCTGCTTTTAAGGCTAGCCCATGAAGTTTCCTTCTTACCTTTCTAGAATATGAAAATATCCCTAGACACCAACTCTTAGTTTACAGACCCAGAACTCAGCCCTGTTTGTGACCAGACTCAGAAGCGCAGTGCTCAGACTCCTGTCGACAGCCATGTGCTGGCCCTGACAGCCCTCGTCACTGCCAGCACCACCAGGCCGTCATCTGGAACCCACCAACCATGGCTAATGTGCTCTGCGTGCCCGCTGCCCGTCCCAAACACATGTTTCTCAAATAGCTGTCTGTTTGTGAGCTGTCTCCACGGGGATCTATTTGCAAATATTCCTAGCTTTTTGACATCAGCAAATTTATTGTTGTTCAGGTTTAAATCACCATTTCAATGGGAAAAAAAAAGCCGAGAGGATAGGAATGACATAATTTCCATTTGTGAATTGTTTGTGCATGTTTTGTTTTGTTTTTATGTTGTGGCTTTTCAAAGTGCTTTGAAATACATAATCTCACTGGGTTCTGTTAAACATATTATGTTGAGGGGCTGGGGATTTAGCTCAGCGGCAGAAGCGCCTGCCTGGCAAGCGCAAGGTCGTGAGTTCGGTTCCCGGTACCGGAGAAAAACCAAAAAAAAAACATATTATGTTGAGAAGAGACTTGTCAGCTAGAATAATTGAATCATTCTCTAATCATGAATATGCATATTCATCAGTGACGTGAATTAGAGAGCTTTAGGGGTCACAGTGAACCTCAACTCCCTTTTTTCCACAAGAAACTCGGTCTTGGCGCTTTCTTCAGGAACACAGCGAGCATGTGGCAGGACTGGGGCTGAGTCCTGGTTCTCTGAAGAAGTTTGATGGCATTTTCCCAAGCTCTTATGCCTTTCACAGCATAGACAGTACCACCCCACCGCTGCACTACAGTTACAGTTTATAAAACACAGGCATGGAACGAATGTCTTCACTCAGCTTAGAGTACAAACCAAGCTGAGCTGGTACCTGCTTAGCTTCAGCAAGGCAATGTCTGCTCGGTGGGGCTCCCGGAACAGCTTGGCCACATCTTTTGTCTGCACGTGTGATTCAAGATTGAGTTCTTGGTGTGCACCCAGAATGACCTTATAATACAATGGGTTCAAAGACCTGGAAGAGATGGTGATGTTAGGAGAAGAATAATCTGCCCATATCAGTGGGTGCCCTCTCACGTCATCTACATCACTTTGTCTCCCAAGACCCACAGCCATCAGAATCAGTGACCCCAACGTGGCAGGAAATGAAATTCATGATTCACCTGAAGCCAGCAATTAAGGACTGGAAAGCAATCCACACTGGAGTACACGGCTCTGTCTGTGGTTTCTCCAGGCCCACAGTTACCCGTATTAGATCTTTTTGCTGCAGTTTCTAGAAACACTTCCCTCCTCTCTCACCCAATTGCCCTGGCAATTCTGCCACAGGTTTCTCCCTGGTCCCTGTGTCACTGCATGGAAGGAAGTGGGGGGGGGACCCTTAGGGACAAGACCTCAAGCCCGTTACCCCTGAACGTACTTCTCCAGGCAGTGGGCTGCAGTCAGCACCCACTCCGGGGCTATCAAAGTGCCTCCACAGAAGTGCTTCATTCCAAGCCTAGGAGAAAGAAACATGCCAAATACTGGATCTTAGTTCAAAGGTCTCTGCCTTAAATTCAGCCGTTCACAAAAGTGTACAAAAGCATTTTTTAAAGCCTATCTCTGGCAGACTATAGATAACCTCCTGCAAAAAGTTTTGCATTTTTACAAACATCTCTTGTTTTCCCTTTTACAGTGACCTGGTGGCATCTGTATAAACCTGCAACGCAGCTTCAATACTTTCCCACAGCGTCAGAGTCTGGTACAGGCGAATATGTCTACGGAGTTTGATAGGAGCAACCCAGAGATTTTTAATCTCACTTTGGCCATTTTCAAGGTAAAGAAGCTAGAAAAATATATTTTTAAATTTGTAGAGCTTTTTTTATTTCTTGAGAGAATATAGGAGAGACTGATGCTCAGCTGTGTGAGTTTGATGTGACGGTTTTGTTTTGTGGTACTGGGGATTGAACCCCGTGACCGGCACACTGAGCTATATCTCCAGTCCTTTTTTCTATTTTTTACTTTGAGACAGGTCTTATTATATCACTAAATTGCCAAGGCTACCCAGGGTGGGCTCAACTTGTGATCCTCCTACCTCAGCCATCCAGAGTTCTGGGGTTACAGGCCTGTACCACCATGCCTGGCTGGTATGAAGATTTCCTGGAACCTACCAAGAAACATGACACACATTGTTTCTATGAATGTTCTTACCTTGTTCTGAGGCTGATCTGCCAGGGCCAGGAGTAAGGGTTGGCCACACACCCACCTACAACCCTTCCAGGACATTTCTTTGGCTCTACTTGAGGCTTCCCACAGTCATACGAAGTCGGAGCTGTGACTCAACAAGGGGAGAAAGTTGCATTTGAGTCAAATTCTGCCATATAATTTAAGATTAATTCATAGCTCATAACCAGGCATTGAATTTATCACACATCTCAAAGCCTAAACCAAACAGCAAAATCATAAGCAGCTTTTGGAGCATTTTCTCTACATTTCCAAAAGTTGTAGTAGACATCATAGAACCCTCTCCTTTGAAGAAAATGTAAGTGCTTTTTAGTATTGAGGGGAGAGTAATAAAACAAATTGTCATAATTCAGCATTAGAATGAGATTTTTCTCAGAGGAAATTGATTGGTACAAATAGATATTTGTAATTGTTATTCTGACTCAATGTAATATATTTAGAGCATTATCATCTGTCATCATCATCTCCACTACCGTCATCACCGTCTCCCTCTAAACCATGCAGGGTGTCCTGACGACCACACTAGTCATCCGTACCAAACAGCACTAAGGTTACTATTTATGAGTGTAAGTGTGTGTGCATGTGTGTACGACTGTAGGTAACAAAGGTGATTCAGCAGAAATATAGTTTCTCTCTGCCGGCTTTAGCACAGCTTCTCCATCTCAGGGTCAACTTACATAACACTCGCCCTTTCCTACCTTTCCTCTCCATTTGCCTCCTGCCTGCCCCCTCACATTACCTAACCCATAGGCTTCCTGGAAGTAGGGGTAGCATCCCATCCTTGGTGCCTTCCACCAGTGGAATCACAAAGATATCCCCAAATGCTTCTCTGTGGTCTGCAGCCCTGCAAAGTCCTCAGAAATGCAGACGTAGCCCATTGTTCACAAAAACCATGGTAAGAAATTCTTACTGTCTTAATCAACCAAAGATTCTGCAAAGATTCCAGAGAATGTGGAATTTGAATTTTTCTAAATAACTTTCCCTTTTTCATGGACTGTTCTGAGAATCTATGCACCGAGGTCTTTTTTCAAAAGGAAACATGCAGAGTCAAGATTACCCCTTGGGCTGGGGATTTAGCTCAGTGGCATAGCACCTGCCTGGCAAGTGCAAGGTTGCAAGTTCAATTCCTGGTACCAGAAGAAAAAAAAAAAGATCATCCCTAATGCTGAGCTCAATTTTTCTACTGTGCCTTGAATTTAATAGATGTGCATAAATATGTTAAAATATATGTACTTTTACATGTGCATTAAAATATATGTATTGTGTATGCAAAATATATGTACTAAAGTGATAACTATAGAGATGATTATTCAAAACAAAACTGGAAGTTTCATTTAATAAGTTTTACTTGTTTATTATTTGTATAAATGTATTCTTAGAAACAAAATGTCACTAAAAATCATTCAACAAACATGTAATTTTAAATAAATATAAGTACATAAATAATACTATGTTTAAAGTGGGATTTCCTTTAATTTTTTTTGTACCAGGAATCGAACTCAGGACCTTGAGCTTGCCAGGCAGGTGCTTGTGCCACTGAGCTATATCCCCAGCCCTCCTTTAATTTTTGAAGTTAATATTAAAGAGAAAAATCATATAGCCCTTAGTAAAATCAAAAATTTTGGGCGGAATAAACTACACTTCTAATTTTAGATTGCTTTACTGTTGCATGCCTTTACTTAGGTGCAATTTGCATAGTGCTATTTGTGACATTTTATATTTACACAGATTCTTTCAGGTGAGTTGTTTAAAGAAGTTTACAAGTTAATCAGTGGTACTTTTTAATTTTAGAGATATATTTTTCCTTATGAATTAAAAATAACATAAAGGTTGGGAAATTTTAAGGAAAATTATTATTAGGAAATTCTCCACTCAACAAAATCTAAAATTTCCCAGAAAAAATAAAAATCTTTAAAAAAAATGAGAAATGAACTAAACAACTAGACTAGACATAATCATGGCCTAGGCCATTTCTCAATCTGAAAAATCCAAATAAAACTAGCAAAAGCCACAGTGCACACCAAAGACCCCTGTAACCTGGGAGAGGCATACTCTCCAACACTGACCTTCAGATACTGGGATGGTGTGCCAAAACCGTGCGCCTTCAAATACTGGGACTGTGTTCCTACTTTAAGTTGTGTTTCTCAAGTATTTTGCTGTGATGACAGCTAACTCACCATCTCACAATAAGATCGGCTGATGGGACTCCTTGTCTCCTCTGTCCTTCCTCCTTCCTCTCTGCCCACATGTTGCCCCCATACACACCCACCTAGGTAGGGTGGCTCCCCAGCTCCTAAGAACTGCCCCACACTGCCTCAGATGCAGCTCCAAAGGTGTTTGCAGGCAGAGCTCCTTTCTCAGCTCCAGATTCCCTACATGACAGACTTCACCCACAGGCAATCAGACTGCAAAGAAGTCCAGGGTAACTGTCTATAGCTAGGACAAATTCTGCTTAGCGTCAACTCTCTTTTCCCTAACTTACACCTCTTCCTCCCTCCCAGAGGGTGTCCTGGAGACTTGATGAAGAAACCAACACTCCACCTCTAAGTTGGGTGGTAAATGTGCTGCTAATGAATAAGGATCTCAGGAGAAAAGAACTTTGGAGCTAACTAAGCTGACGCATTACTTTTCTTTGAATTCTTAAGGTGACAATTTAAAGATGCTCCATATGCATTTGTATTTTCTTTCCTACTTCTCATCTGCAGAATGGGAAAGTTTCCTATCCATGTGACACAAACTTTGTTTTTTCATGCATCCTAAACTAAACATTGAAGAGTTCAGTAGAATCATCCTGGGGATTATTACATCATCTGTAAGCTTACTCTTTGGGAATTTAGTATTTAGTTTACATGTGTGTGCACACATGTGTATGGGGCAATAGCAACAGGGGCCTGTACTAGGACAGGATCAAGATGTGCATGAGGAAGATGGGGCTCAGGGCATGAGATGGCCATTTCTTCCCCAGAATCACTCAGCTCAAAGCCCTTTGAGTTTGGGGGTTTGTTTGTTGGTTTGTTTTTATAGATCATTAGCAAGCAGGCCATGGCTGCATTTACTTGAGAAGTGTTTGCCTTAAAAGAAATTAAAAAAACAAAGCAACTCACCACACTGAGGGATATCACAGTAGTCATAAAGTTTTTTTGGATTCATTGTGTAGCACCAGGGACCATTGACATCACCGTCAGGGTTTCGGCAGTACTGAAAAGAGGTAGGCACTTGAGATACAGCTCCCCGAGGCAGCAGAGGGACAAGGGTCCTGAGACATGCACATCACTCCAATCCTTGCAAGAAGGAAGGAAATGTTTCTTTCTTTCTTTCTTTCTTTCTTTCTTTCTTTCTTTCTTTCTTTCTTTCTTTCTTTCTTTTCTTTTCTTTTCTTTTCTTTTCTTTCTTTCTTCCTCTGTCTTTCTCTTTCTTTGTCTTCCTTCCTTCCTTTCTTTATCTTATTGCCAAAATTATTTTATATTGGCTGTTTATAAACCCTCTGAATTACAAGAAACCCTTACTCATGTCTCCTTTCTCAAAAGTTAGAGAACATAAAAAGACAGCTTCCTGCTGGGAGCCTAGATCAGTGGAGATCTGAGAGACCCCACCATGGAGGACAGTGGGACACTGTCTCTGGTTGGCTTCAGCAGTCTTCTTCCCTGATTGCTGTTGGTTCAGAAATGCTTATTCTTATGAATCATGTGCCCTCCATGCATCAACACAAAGTTTTCCATTTGCTCCCTATGATACTGTGATATAATAAATAGATATTTGGTCTCTGCTCCATAGTTTCTAGCACACAGCTCCTAAGATCTTTGCCATTTCCTGAGTGATAACATTGACATGGAGCTCCTAAATGCCTTGGAATTTTCTGGGCAATAGGAGCATATTTTGTTCTAATGAGTTGACTCTTGAGGGCTCCTGGACAGCTTCAGGATGGGGGCTGATTGAGAGTGGAATCTACCATGCGACTAGAAAGTTGAGATTTCCAGCTTCACCCTCTGAGTTCCAGGGAAGGAGAGAGGTTGATGGTTTAGTTGATCAGTGTTATGGCTTCTGTCTAGATGTACCCCAAAGCCTCATGCACTCATAGGTGAGGCTTTTTGGCTGAATTGAGAGTATGTGATATTGGGATTAAGGATGTGATACTGGCATAGATTCACAGTGTGATGCTAGGATCAAGGGTCTTAGTAGCTACTTCAGGGTGGTTAGCCTGTATAAAGTATAAGGTGCAGAACGAGGGCTGCTGTTGTCATTGCTTGTTGGTCATCGCTTGCTTGCTGTTTGCTGCCTTCTGCCTGCCTTGCTTTGTCATGAACTGTTTCCTCTCTGCAATGCCCTTCTGCCATGCCTCCCTGCTTTGGAGCCAGCCAACTATGAACTGAAACTTCTACAAACTGTGGGCTACAATAAACCTTTCCTCCTTTAACTTTGGGTGTTGGGTATTTTGTCTCAACAATGGGAAAAGTAACTAACACAATCACAAAGATCAGTGTTATAACCAATCATGCTGATGTAAACAAACCTCCACAAAAAACTAAAAGCACACGGTCCAGAAGGATTCCAGATAGTTGAATATATGGTGGTGCCTGGAAAGCAGTGCTCCCCAGGAGAACTTAGAAGCCCTCCCCCTCATTCCTTGTCATCTGTGTTTCTTCTTCTAGCTATAATTTATACCCTTTGTCATATTCTTTGTAATAAACAGGCAAAAAAAAAAAAAACAAAACAAAACAAGAAACATAAGCGGGGTGTTTCCCTGTGTTCTATGAGACACTTTAGAAAACTTATCAGACCTAAGACAGAAGTCATAGGAAACCTCAATTATAACCAGTCAGTCACACATACAGGTTATGCCCAGGAAGCTGCAACTGGCATCTAAAGCAGGGCCAGTTTTGTGGGACTGAGTTTTTACCCTGTGGGGTCTGACCCTATTTCCAGGTGGAGAGCATTGTAATTGAGTTAAATTGTAGGACAGCCCAGCTCATGGAGAATTCTTTGAGGAGAAACACCCCATGTATCTGGTGTCAGAAGTGTCAAATGATAAGAGCAAAAAAAAATTGGGTTTTTATAACTCAAAAACCCCCTACATACCCCCAAACTAAACTCTCCCAGAGACTGTGGAACCAGGAAAAATTCTGCAGTGGAAGTCTTTATGGCCTGGTAAGGACTGTAGCTAGATGCCCCCACCTGCAAGCCTTATGTGCTCATACGCAGAGCTTTGAGGGCTGATTGGATGATGAGGGCATAGTAGCTTACTTGCTATGGGGCCTGGTCGGAAGAGGTGGGTCACAGGGGGCATGACCAGGAAGTGTATATCTCTGTCCCAGCTCCTTCCTTCCCTCATTGCATCCTGCTTGCCATGCCATGAGCGACTCTCCTCTGCTACACCGCTCTGCCATAGTGCCCTGCCTTGGAGCCAGCTGACTATGCAATGAAAACTCTACAACCTGCAAGCCAAAATAAAACCCTCCTCCTTTAAGTTGTGAATGTAGGGTATCATGTCTCAGTGACAAGAAAATGACTAAGTTACAACACATCCAAATTTTTTTTCTAGAAAAATCTGACAAATGTCATAAAGAACATCTTTGGTCACCAGAACCCAGAGGACAAACACGAGAAACTAGAAACCCTATCCCATAGAAAAGTATGGTCAGCCCATCACATGTGGAAGCAAGAGGCCTGACAACCAGGACGGTCACAAAGGGGAGGCTCTCCAGGGTTCACTGCACTCTTGTGCCGAGGCTGATCATTGTCTAGGTTTCATTCCCCTGAAATTGCTCCTCTGTTTTCCTCCCCTCCTTTCCCCACCAACACCAAAAATCACTCCAGGATGCCTTTCTGTAACCCAGCACTAATTTTGTTCAAAGATTGTTCAGCAAAAGCAAAACAGAATTGAATATAAGTGACTTACATTTTCTTCCAAACCCGCTCGTGGATTTGTCTCTGGAGTGAAAATCCTGTGTTTGTGGGGCTCCTGGGCAGCCCATCCCTGGCATGGAGTGCCAGTCACAGTGGTGGCCCTTTTGCCCCGATATTCTTTACCATCTCCAATCATACAGTCTGTAGGAAGGAAAGTGGGTATTTACATGCCATTGTATAGACCCGGTATGCAAAGGTGCTGGGCTGCTCTAAGATGACAGACTGAGTGTTGCATCCACCAGAACCCTGGGAGCTGAAAATTACAGCAGACACTGCATGCTAAAGAAGTTGTGATTGGCCAGGAAATAATCACAAATTCAGCAGGATGTCAGCAGGGAAATTTTGGGAAAGATATCATGAAGACACAATTTTACAGCAAGGTGAGTAGTGAGATAGAGCACCCTGGGGATTTGCACATGGTTTAAGGAAATCACCCACCCACATTAATCCAACAATCACAGCCTTGGCTTCCCAGAGATGGTGCTGGGGCCCCTTCCATATAGCAGACCTTCAACCAGCACTCATTTTCCTATGTAACATTGGAGCTTCTGCATTAAAGTTTCTGCTTTTCACATCCCATTGTCCAAGTGTATAAATGTTCCCACAGACTTCTTACCTGGTTCAGAAGTAGCCTGTACACTGGGAACTTGGGTAGTGGCTTGAGATTCCACAACACTGCCTTCTGTTTCTGAGCATTTCTTCAAGTTACAATACTCCCACCTGACACTCGGGTCAGTGGTGTAACACCAAGGGCTTTTATCAGCATCTGGATTCCTACAGTAGTTCATCGTCAAGCCACTGTAAATCCCAAAAGAGTAAGGTCATCACAGGTGGGAGAATTCAGCTCCCTCTGAATTTTGTTATGACAAAATGTTAACAAGTGACTTCAAAATATTCCCATAAGGGGTATAATAATGTTACAAGCAAAAATGGCCCTTTCATTCAAAAATGATATACGTGCCACAGAAAAGCTGAGATAATATATAAATGTGTAGAAAGAAAGTATCATATTCTGCCAAGTATATTCCCCAGGAATAACAAATATAGATTCTAAAGTATAATTTTAAACTTTTAAAGCATGCATAAATCTATCTATGTATCTCTATATGTGAATAGATGAGGTTGTGTAAGTTGGAAGTAAAACAACCATCCCTGCCAGGTGTGACAGCACACACCTATAATGCCAGCACTCTGGGAGTTTAAGACAAAAGATTGTAAGTTTAAGCCCCACCAGGGCAATTTAGCAACTTAATGAGGAGATCACAAAAATAATTCATTACAATGTCATACAAGACATCCTCCAGCCAGCTCTCTTACTTTATTTATTTATAATATAGCCAAAATATGACAGATATTCCTCAGTTAGCAACCTATGGGCTTAACAACAGTTTGGACTCAATAACCCACTACTAAAAACTCTGACCTCTGTTTTTATTTTTGAACAGTTCTATATATCTTGTTTATAGAACCTCAGTCAATATTCTAGTACAGTAAATTTTGCTGATTGTACTGTACAGTACAGTATTGTAGTGTTATGTTCTGTTATACATTACAGTACTGCACATAAGGGTCATGCAAGTAAAAACAAAGTCATCAAGCTGGAGTTTCCTTTGCCCACTTCTTTGTCCTGAATATTGTAATGTACACACTATACAATTCCTCATTTACCAACCAGTTCATTTAATGACCTAATTGCAGGAATGCCACTCAGTCATTAAGACAGGAATGTCATACTAAGTAGTTGAGTGTGTTAAAAAAAGTTGTTTTTAATTTTTCCTACTGCTTCCTAATATCTGAGAGTTCTGTAGTGACACCTTCTCTCTTCTATTCCTAATGCTGGTGATTGTGTTCTTTCCTTTTATCACGATCAGCTTAGCCAGAGGTTTATCAGTTATGTTGATCTCTTCAAAGAACCAACTTTTGTTTCATTGATGTACTAAATCTTTATTCTATGTTCCTTTACATTAATTTTCATTTATTTTTGTAATTTCCTTCCTTCTGCTCACCTTACATCTTATTTGTTTTTCCTTTTCTAGGCTCTAATGTTGTTACTTAGATCAAAAATTGTGTCAAAATTTTTTATCACAGGACCTCTTCACACTCTTTAGGAAATACTTAGAATCACAAATAGCTTTCATTCTTGTGGTACTGTATATACTGTAAATACTGAATTGAAAGTAAAATTTTGATTTTAAAAAATCTTAAGGAATTTAAAAAGTAAGAACCTGCAACTACACATCCCATTAGTCATCAGAGAGGTGTCTCATAACATGCTACGTAGTCTCTAGAAAATTCTGCTGTACACTTTTGAAACATTAAAATTAGCAGGACACATAAAGATAATTTTTAAACATTGAAAACATTTTAACTTCATAGATTCTCTGAAGGGGTCTCAGGAATCCTCAAGTTATCAGAGCATGCTTTGAAGACTGCTGTCTTATGTCACTGATTTTTAAATGCTTCTATTTTCTAATAACAGCATTTAAAGTTTTAAAATGCTTTGTGATTTTTTTCTTTGACTCATAAATCATTTAGAAATGTGTTAACTTCCAAATACTTGGCAATTTTCCAAATTTTATTTTCACGTATATGTGTATATATATATATGGAAGAAAATTAATTTAATTCTGTTGTGGTAGGAAACATATTCTATTACCTTAATCTTTTTAACTTTATGGACACTTGTTTTAAGGCTAAGTGCATGATACACTTGCAAGAATCCTCATATGCATTAGAATGTGACTCCGTAGTTGGGCATAGTGATAAAGAGGTTGATATTTTACTCTGAAACTTTCTGACTTTCTTCTACTTCTGTATTTTGTTTTGAGAGGCTTTGTAACTGTATTGAAGAAATGTGCAGCTATAAAAAGCTCACCTACATCTCTGTTTAGTTGTCCATTTCTGCCTCAGGTACCTGAAGCTCTGTTTTGTTTTTTTGTTGTTGTTTTTGTTTTTTGGGGTTTTTTTTTTGGTAACGGAAATCAAACTTAGGACCTTGCACTTGCCATACACATGCTTGTGCTGCTGAGCTATATCCCTGGCCCCCTGAAGCTCTGTTGTCAGGATGGCAAAACATCAGCATTTTTAAGTGTTGAGAATACATTTTTATTAACCAAATGTTCTTTTTAGCTCTAGTATTATTTCTTGTCCTGAAATCTGCCTTATTTGATTTCACTATTTTTTTTCTTGATTCAAGTTTTCCTGGTACATCATTTTCCCTACTTTGGTTTTTTACCTATGTCCTTATGTTTAAAGGGCAACTATCGTGAAAAGAACATAACTGCACTTTGGTTGTCACTAAATTTGACAATATACGCATTTTAATTGAAACGTTTAATTCTTTTACATTTAATATCCTCATGGTCTGGTTTGGTTAACTCTATGATAATGCTATATATTTTTATTTGTATCATATCTTCTTCATTCTTTTTTCTTCCTTTTTCCCCTCTTTTGGAAAATTGAATTTTTGTATCTGGTTTTTGAGGCAGCGTCTTGCTTTGTAATTCAGGCTGGCCTTAAACTCAAGGCAATCCTCCTGATCTTCCTGCCTCAGCCTCCTAAGGGCTGAGATTACAGGTGTGTGCCACCATGCCCATCTTGAATATTCTTATTCTTATGTTTTCTTGTAGATTTAAATTATTATGGTTGTTAGGATTTACAATAGCCTCTTTACCTATTACATTAAATCATGTACTAATATTGCATTACTTTCCAGGTTTGGTGGTACAGGCCAATAATTCCAGCACTCAGATCCTAAGGCAGGAGGATCAAAAGTTCGAGGCCAGCCTGGACTACATAGAAAATCCAAGATCAGCCTGGACTATATAGTGAGGCCCTGTCCCAAAAAAAAAACAAGCAAAAACTTGCATAATTTCATGGCTAATATAAGAAACTTATAACAACATACTTCCATTCACCCCTATATTATTTATAGTAGTTTCTATAACTTTTGCTTTTACATATGTTAAAACAACAGTATATTGTTATTATTTTGCTTCAAGTAGCTAGGCAGTTGTCTTCTAAAAAAATTAAGAAATGTGGTAAGTCTTTTACATTTATGTTCATATTTACCATTTCTAAGCTTCTTTATTCTTAGTATTGATTTAAGTTTCCATCTAGTATTATTTTTCTTCAAACTAAATAACTTTCTTTAACATCTATTATAATATAGGCTGGCCTGTTGGTGAAAAAAATCTGTCAGTTTTCACTTCTTTGGGGAGTGGCAGTATAATGTCATTCACATTCAATCAAAGGACATTTTGGCTGGATTACAGCTGGATATTTTGATACTTTTCTCCTCTCACATTAAAGATGTTCCTAGCTTCGGTAATTTTTGATGAGAAAGTATCACTTATTTTTGTCACTGTTTCTCAATGTAAATGTTTCTTTAGTCTCTTGTTTCTTATAAGACTTTTTTCTTTGGGGCTGGGTATATAGATCAACGGCACAGCATCTGCCCAGCAAATGCGAGGTTCCAAGTTTGATTTCTGGTACCTTACCCAAAAAAGACTTTGTATCTTCGACTTCTAACAATAGATAATGTACCTAAGTAAGTCATGTAGTTTTACTTTCAAAATATGGGTTTTTGTCTTAATGTCTCTTTTGTCCTGGGAGCTACTTTACACAGATACCAACTCTCGCATTTCCCGAAGAGTCCCTGACAGCTCTGTGCTTTCCTCCAGTTTTCTGTGTTTCCTTTGTGCAGCAGCATGACTCTGAATTGCGTCACTTTCCAGTTCACCCTTCCACAATGTCCATTGGGCAGCGAGGTCATCTGTCAAGTTTTTGTTCAGGATATGCACATTTTTAAATTTTAATTTCTTTTTGGCTTCTATAATTTTTCTTTCTCTTGATATTACTATTTGTTTCTTTTAACTCCATATTTTGCCTAAAGACTTTAAACAGAAATGAATTATATTTTAAATTTTTTGTCTTCTAATTCCATCATTTTTATCATTTCTGTGTCTGTTTATATTGACTAAACTTTTTTTCCTGGTTATTGATCACATTTAATGCTATATGTGTGTGCAGTACTGGGAATTGAACTCGGCCTTTGCACTGAGCCACTTCCACAGCTCTTTTCTTAACATTTTGAGACAGGGTTTCACTAAGTCATTAATTTGCCCAGACCAGGTTCAAATTTGTGACCATCCTGATGCAGCCTCCCAGAGTTGGTATTATAGGCATGTGCCACCACACCTGGCTTAAAGCTTTTTGTATGTCTAGGAAGTTCTCACATTTATGCTGGACACTGCTGAGCAAGTTGATGTTTTTGCTTCCCCCTCAAGGATGTTAACGTTTCTTCTATCACTTATTTGGAGGCAATTATGATTGTCTTAGGTTTGTTTTCAAGCTTTGCTAGGTGTTTCTAGAAGTATATTAACCTCACTCCTGAAGTGCGGTTTTTCTGCATCTCTAGTGAAAGCCTACGACATTTGATGAGGTCCCTCCTGCCATCAGAACTCAGATTTCTCCAAGAGCTGTGAGTTCTGTAGTTCAGACCTGGTCGTGAGTCCATCCACGGGCCTGCCCATTTCACCTTTCAGATCAGTGTGCTCCCTGCCTCTCATCAGCCCCCACCCTCCCTTTTGCTAGTCTCGCAACTGTCAGCATTTCCCAGCACTAGTGCTCGGGACCCAGGGTGCCGGTACAGGTTAGCACAGATTAGTATAGGTGCAGATACAGAACTGGATATTGATCTATGACCCAACGCACAGGAGCAGGCAAAAATTTCATTTCAGTGGTTTGAGGTTGGAACGGTAGAACTCTAGAGTTGAAAAATTGTATTGACCTTTGGCCTATTACTTCTCTTCTCTTTCAGAGCCTTTGCTCAAAAGCAACTTCCTGAGACATTTTCCCTCCTGTTCTGGATCTAAGAAATTTAGTCCTAAGAAGTTTGCTTAAAGCATACTTCATTTAGTAAAAAGTCAAGTTAGCTACTATGATTCTTCTTATGGTTGAAATCGAAGACATACGCATCTGGGTAGTTTTCTGGGGTCTTCTTATGCACATGTGGTCTCATAGATGACCAAGATTGACACTTCTTTCCTGTGACAGTGATGGATGATGTGCCTCTATAATTCTGTCCATTACCATGATAGCATTCCTGTATCACTGGGGTTTGCTCAGGTAGTGCTGAAATTAAAATAGGGGAAAACAAGGAGAATAATGAGTGGAACAGAGGGACATGTGATGAAGTGAGTGACACAAACAATATAATAGTCCTGGGAATTATCAGTGTTCTCTTTTCCATATTAGTAGGCACATAGATATGGAAAAACAAAAACATCCCCCAAACACACAGAGACTAGATTTATACCATTCTAGAAATTTAATGACTTTCCTTCTCTTGGAAATATTTAAGATAAAACTCAAGAGGGGAAAAAAAGATAGAGTGACTATAACTGGAAATAGTACTTATGTGGAAACTCATCCTGGTTCTCTTCTGGATGCTCATGACAACAGAGCAGGAGCAGAGAGGGAGGAATGCTGGAGTGCAGGTGCCAAGTGGTGGCTGACTGTCAGCCTTGGCAGACATAAAATTTGCACATTTCCCTAGACTCACTGCTCATACAATGCCAAAACCTCAAGCTTCTCGGGAACAGGAACGAAATGGTCCTGCGTTGGGACTGTGAGCAAAGGTCACCATGCTCATCTGTGAGGACCACATCTGGAAGCACTCAGCTTGCGGTTGTGAGTGAGCCACCAGCTATGTTAAAGAGCTTCCGGTAAAAGTCAGCAATATGAATGAGTAGATGGAGAATTTCAGCAGAGAAATGAAAACTTCAAAAAAGAGTAAATTGGAAATGCTAGTAACATGATACCAGAGATGAAGGACTCAGTGGGCTGATGGAGGGACAGCACAACTGATGAGATAATCAGTGAGCTCGAAAAAAAGTTAATAGAAGTTGTCCAAACTGACCCATAAGGAGAAAAAAAGATTAGGTGAAAAATAAGTAAAATAGAATAAACATACAGAGTTTTGAGATAATATGAAATGAACTAACATTTAAAACATGGAGTCCAACATGGAAGTGGGGGAAGAGAGACAGAAAGAAATAGATAATGTCTGATGACTTTATAAAGATAATGAAAATCTCAGTTCACAAATCCAAGAAACTCAGCAAAGCCTGAGGAGAATAAATAGAAAGCACACACACACACACACACACACACACACACACACATGCACTGTAGTCAAACTGCTGAAAAACAGTGAGACTGAATATATAAGAACCAAGATAAGATTTCTAATCAGAAACTACTCAAAACAGAAGATACTAGGGTATCATCTCTGAAGTGGTAAAAAACTCAACCCAGTATCTATACCTAGTGAAATTATTTTTTTTAAAGGCAAGATGAACAACTTTAGCAACACCAGAGATATGCTACCAGAAATGCTGAAAGTGGGGTTTTCTACAAAAAGGAATATGACACAGATAGAAATCTGGTTCTACACGAAGAAATAAAAATCACCAGAAATGGAGAAATATAAAAAGATTTCTACTTGTGATCACTTTAAAACACAATTGGCCATTGACAAATAGCAAAAAGATATATATCTATCTATACATCTATCTATCTATCTAGCTAGCTATCTACATATATAGTACTAGTATATTTTGAGATCATAACATAATAGAAGGAAGTAGCTACTACAGAGAACAATAGCACAAAGTGTGGGGAAGCACAATGTTATAAGGTTTTACAGATGAACAAGAATAACACTGTTTAAAAGTAGAACCTGATAAATTAAAGATGCATGTTATAAGTATTAGGGAAAATACTAAAACTAAAAACTGATTCAACTAGTAAGGAAATAGTGAAGATAAAAGGCAATCCTAAAAGTAATCATTCCAAGTGAAGGTCAAAAAAAAAAAGAAAGAAAGGAAAAAAAAGAAGAAAAAGCAACAAAGTTCAAATAGGGCAAAGCGAAGAAACTTGGTAGATTTAAATCCAACTATATTAACAATTGCATTAATGCAAATGGTCTGAATATCTCAACTGAAAAACTGAAAAAAAGATACCAAATATTAGTGAAAAGAGAGTTGGAAAGGTTATATTCCTACCAGCAGAAACAGATTTGAGAACAGGGATATTTCCAGAGACGTTACCTCATATCAAAGGGGTCATTTCATCTAGAAAGCATATATGTCTTCAATGTATATGTGCCTAACAACAGAGCTTCAAAATATATAAAGCAAACAGTTAAAACTAAAAAGAAGAATAAACTAATCCACAGTAAAAGTTGGATAGGTCACCATTCATCCCCTAGTAATCAGTAAAATAGGAGACAGGAAATCAGTAGGAATACAAAACAACACTAACAACCAATTTGACTTAACTGACCTTCAGAGAACATTTCACCTCTAACAATAAAAGTTACATTCAGGAGCACATGAAACATTCACCCAGGTGCCTATAGTGTAGGCTATGAGCTAAACCTCAATACACTGAGAATACTGTCCTTGAAATCACATAGATCATGCTCTCTGAGAATAGCAGGATTGAGTGAAACAAAATTACTGTGCATTGTGATGATACTACTGGAGTACAAAAATAAGAAGAGTGTTTGGGCCTTCAGGAAGTGCTCATGGCCATCTCATACCTGGACCATCAGAATGCTCTGCAGATGATGGAGAGGACTCACAGGATGGGATCGCACAGTATTCCCACCTCACTTCACTGTCAGTTGTATAGCACCATGGAGCTGTTTCTCTATCAGGGTTACGACAGTAGTTTTCATGCAGATCTCTGAAAATGAAATGAATGTGAGTTTGGCTTATCAAGAAAACTGTAAATAAACAAGGTTCACACATGCTTATTAATGGTTTTATTGGTTATGTATCCAGCTAATACTGGAGAATTACACAAACTTAGTCACAGGTGTCACAAAGAAGCATAAATTGATGGGATTCCTTAAGATTCCATGGAATCATGACACAGACATTTGTTTTGGGCAAATGGTTGGAATATATACACTGGTGTTGAATAGCCAACTGAAGGAGGCCTTTGATGTATTTGGCACTGTGTCATATGCTGCAGCACAGCAAACGTTTTTCTCACTGCATCTGCCCTTAGTGTATCCACTCTAGGAATATACAGGTTACAAAACAATGATTCTCAACATTTAGTGTGTGTGCAGTGGGGACCATTACCTGGCTCCACCTCAGAGTTACTGATTTAGTGGGTCTGGGTAGGACCCTAGATCTTAAACTTTTAGCAAACTCCTGGGGACCACACTTGGAGAAAGACTGTTATGAGAAAAGCCAATGCTGAATTTCATTTATCGAAACTGATCAGCTTGTGTTCCAAAACATTTTAATCCTTGGTTCTTGCAGTGGCTAACAAAAGGCAAAACCGGTGCAGCTTCACAGTCCCCAGCAGGAGATGGGGAAGAGACCACTGGACGTACTTGCAGGGATAGTTTTCTGGAGTCCTGTTGTGTTTGTGAGGGATCTGTTCACTCCAGCGCTGACAGGTGCGGCCAGACACAGTAACTGCCACCTTCCCACGGTAGTTTTCACCTTGTCCCTTCAGACACTGGTAGAATGGACCAGAAGATGGTGGAGGTGTTGCTTGAATGGGGAAAATAAATCATAATGAATAGTTTTCAAATAAGAAATACACAGATTGACATTACAGGAGAAAGGATACAGGCAACCAGGCTGACTTCTCTTTTGTACCTTCTCCCTTAGAATTTGACACTTGAAATTGGTTTAGTATTTTCAGAAGCCAATTTGGTAGAATCTATGTGTATGAGACCATTTTATGAGGAATTTGTCCAGGGATAGATCTGGAGATTGGTGCTTGTTGGAGTACATGCTTGTTTCTAAAGTCTCTTGGCTCAGTTTGTCATACATGGTAAGTAGCAACACAAGTCCTCTGCCCCCTCAAATCTTTAAATGTGCCAGTGATCCAAGCTCTTTTGTGAAAAACTCATTATTCACTGATAAACATAACAGAGTGGCACCCAGTATTTCATAAAGCGACACAACTGAGAAAGAGCCCATGGAAAGGAAAAATACCTCCAAGGAAGTATGTGCTGCTGCAAGTCAAGACATTCTTGAAGCGAAAAATAAAAAGGCAAGAGGAACCTCAGCTTCCCAAGGACACTGTCTTCACTGAAGAGGGCAGCCAGAGTCACTGGCCCTTTATCACTTACGATGACTGCCTCTCTCTGAACCCTCTGTATCTTGGTTCAAATTCGCAGAAAAAGAATGTACAAGGGGTACTCAAAATACAGTGATGTTTAAATTTTTTTAAAATGTGATTGCGGGGAAGATACATTGTCATTAATCTTCAAAATATTCCCCTCATTTTGAACATTCTTCTTCCATTGTTCTTGTCACTTTCTGAAGAAGTTGTGGGAGTCCTCTTTCCTGATATATTTTATGATGTGTAATCAAAAAACAGTGAATGCTGCTGCGAGGTGCCATCCAGTGGAAAGGTACGCTTGTAAAAACACTGTGGTGTGTCCTTATTCACCTTGTTCACCAGATCTGGAACCATGCAATTTCTGGTTCTTCCCCCAAATCAAAATAACCATGACAGGTAACAGTTTGGAATCAATTCAGGACATCGAGTCATCTAGGACAGCAAAACTAAACACCCTTATGAAACAGGACTTCCAGAATTGCTTCAGAAAGTGGCAAGAACCACAGTATAATGTGTTTGAAGCAAGGGAGAGTATTTTGAGGGGGAACTAATCGCAATTTTTCTTTTATTGTAATAATTTTTTTAAAAAAATTTTAAATATTCGTTGTGTTTTTTGATTACTCATCATATTACAAAGTAGTTTCCTGCATGTCAGTTCTAGTAGGCCTTTCCTTTCATCTTTTCCTCCTGCAGTTTCTTCCCCTACTGTTTGCCAAGAGGGATGTAATGAAAACCCACAGAAACCTCCTTGTTGAGAAAGCAACAGTTAGAAAAACTCTGCCTAACGATGGACTCTGAAAAATAGAGGGTGAGTCTTGCCTCCCTTTAACACAAGGAAAAGAAAGACCACAGCCGCCCTCCTGGAGCCGACATAAGTGTGCTCAGAAGAGGCAGAAGTCACTGATAGAAAAATGAAAGTAAAAAATAAATGAAACGCTCAGATCAACTACTTACAGTAGCCAATAAATTGTTTTAAAAGAGCAATAAAATTCAGTGCAGTAACAGTATACATGACACGTGAATCACTTTTTATGCCCTGCAGTCAGGGCCTAAAAATTTATTGTAATAAATTATTTGAAAAATTATCGTCAATCATAGTGTTTTCCAACCACACGTCACATTATTAAATTAACTGCTTCCTGCACATTCTTACTAGGCCTTTCATTCCATCTTCTCCTCTGAGCTCTCTTTTCCTACTGGTACATGCTTCCTTTTTGCTCCCCAAACCAGACTAAGCTGGGTCCAAGTGCACCCGGTATGAGCCATACTCACTGCAGTGGGGAATGTCACAGAATTCCCACCGTTTGTTGGGGTCAGTGGTAAAACACCATGGGCGGAGCTCCCCATCAGGGTTACGGCAATAATTCATCTTCAAGTTCTTGTTTGGATGTCTGAATAGACAGGAAAGATTTAAATAGCTCAGCACATTTACATTCCTGGGTGAGAATCTTTGAAAACAAGCAAACACATAGCACTTGCTATGTGGTAGGCACAGTTAGGCACTGAGGAAGTAACTAGACAAAGGCTATCTTCAAAATGATGGTAATCTAGGAAGAAAAATTAGCTCAGCATTCCAAGGGCCACTTTTCTAATGGATTACACAGTGTAAAAAAAAAAAATCACTGAACAGGATCAGTAACCTTACCATTTTGACCATCTGGAAAATTGATGTAAGTAAACTCCAGTTACTCAGCTGCAAATAATAGCAACTTTTAAAACATAAGGTGCTCACTGCCTGAAGGCAGTGTTGTAGTACAGTTAGGAAGTTGGTGTCTTGGTATTTGGCCTGATTCTTCTACCTGCAGCTTAGAGAAATTGAGAGTGAGGAGCCGAAGTCCTGCAGGCACCTGGGGCTGCAGCTGTTACGTACATGCCATGCTGTCCCTCTGGGCCTCCTTTTTTTTTTTTTTTTTTTTTTTTTTGGTTTTTCTCTGGTACTGGGAACCGAACTCACAACCTTGCGCTTGCCAGGCAGGCGCTTTTGCCGCTGAGCTAAATCCCCAGCCCCCCTCTGGGCCTCCTTCACAACCTCTCTGAGACTGACCAAGTGCTCAAATGAACAGAGCAGCCAGCTATATTTTAGTCACTCTCTTTTCCATCTACTTTCTTGGAGATGAATTTACCCCACCATGGGCCTTGAGGCTTCCATTGTTCTTACTTTTGAAGAGCAAGGGCAATAGCTGTGTTTTAAGGTATTTGGAATGGAAAGTGTAAAAATTCAGTGCTGTTGATTTTCACATGGGAAACCTGTGGTTTAGCCTCTCTATCAAAGTTCTAAGAAGTGTTACAGTCCTATATAGTCATCACAGAATAAACAGAAAGAGCAGAACAACTACAAGGGGGAGGTGTTTTCCAGTGCAATTTGTGTGAAATAGAATTTTCACCATTACTTTATAGCAATGAATCCTATTCCTATTGAAAGTCATGGTTGATGGTGAGAGTTTGGTGGGAGTCAGGAAACCTTGCCAGAGAAAAATGCACCAACATCAACACATGAAATATTGGAGAATTCACAAGACCTATGATGCTCACCCATGGATCATAGGCTGGGAGGCCTTGAATCTCACTGGTACAGAGTGAAAGGAAAAAGGAACATACATAAGACGGATATATCTCTTAAATTTTAATGTGTATACAAATCAGCTGCAGACCTAGTCACAATGTAAATTAGATTGAGAGGGGCTGAGATTCTGCATTCCTAGCATATTCTCCAATGATTTCACTTCTACTGGACCCTGAACCACATTTTGAGTAGCAAGAATATATATGTCACTTGCAGCTGCACCGGCGGATGATAACCTTGAAATTCAACAGCATGAGGCATTCACTTCCCAAGACACGTAAGATGTCTAAACAGCAGTAAATGTCTTGTAGAGCCACAGAGTCCTCAACAGTGAGACTTACTTGGAAGGAATGAATCCATGAGCATGAGGAACTTGAGAGTCCCAGGACTGACATTCAAGTCCAGACACAGTCTTGGAAATTTTGCCCATGTAATTTTCTCCAAGGCAATGCATACATTCATCTGGCATTCGAGAAAGGAAGAGAAGAGATGAAGCAAGAAACCAAAATGCATGAAGCAAAATAGAATAAGACTAGACTCCTGCTAGGAATGCCTCAGATCTTTCTTATCACTGGTTCCTGTGTAATTCCTAACAATCACTGGCAATGACATTGTTAATAAGGACTTAGAGTGCTCTAACACAGCCCAGAATGTTACTCGCTTTTCCAGTTAGGATAACGAGCACATTTTGGCTGATAGCACTTTAATGATGGTAATCACGACGAAACTCAGAGACTCATCGATATTGTAACTCCTTACACTGCGAGGCACAGATCAGGAGGCAGGGAGGGTGCATGTATACTCAGCAGTCTGTAATTTCTCCGTTATAATTTTTAAATGCAATTCAGTACCAATCTTTAAACAGCCTATGGAATTATTCTGCTTATCTGACAACTGACAAATAAGCAGCACCATCTTAGGATTTCTGAGCCTTTGTTGAGCACACGACCTCACTGGAACACAGCATTCACCTACAGGGTCAGCATTTCTCTTTTTATGTTGTTGAGAAGCATGATGTCACTGGTTTGCTTTCTAACTTATTTTAAAACTGAAGCTTTGATTTGGAGTTATTAAAGCTACATGGTTAGGCTAAGTGATATACAAACTAGACACTGACTTGACACAAAAATCATGCCTTAATGATACTTAAGGGCCAAGTGACCTGCAATGTGTGTCCAAGTGACCTGCCATGTCATGGCCAATGGCCAAAGACAATGGAAGGACAAGGTTGTCACATGGTGCAACACCCACAATGCTGCATAAATATCACCCCAGTCTATTCTTCTTGCTTGAACAGATGTAACCAGAAATATGAAATGAAATATATGCAGTCTGATGTTTTAATTTTAGCCTTGACCTTTGAAGTACATTATTAAATAGATTGGTCCTTTAAAATAAGGGACTGCTGATATAAAAACTAGTACACTGCTTAACTTCAACTGAACAACAAAATCGTCCACATTAATATTGTTTACTTAAGTGCTATTGATTTCATGGTTTTAATTTAGCTATTTAATTGCAAATCTGCTTGGAGTTTTGTACCATGTGAGAGTTTTGAGCATAAGGAGTTTGTATCTAGTTTTGGCTCTAGCTTAATGTCTGTGCTCACTGAAGTAATGTTTTAGTACAAATACACGTCAATACTTGGGGGGTGAGCAAACTTTTTCACTCTCCCACTAAAATGTGAATGCATTACTCAGTCTTGCCTTGCGCTAGCACTAACTGATTTTTAGTATTATCCTTGTAGGAAATAGCTTTACAGCAAGTTACTTTACAGGTAAAGGGCAGACAGGAAAAGATTTTCTAGCGCCCCTTCTGACCTTCACATTCAGGGATGTCACAGTAGTCAAATCTCTGGTCAGGGTTCGTAGTGTAACACCAGGGCCCCTGTTGATCGTTGTCTGGGTTCCTACAGTAGTTTTCCTCCAGCCCACTCTCAGGGTATTTATCAGGGGAATAGCTGTGAAGAGTGGAAAGGAACACTTTGACAATATCCTAAAACTCAGCAGGCTGCCAGCAAGTGTGAAAGGATACTCTTCACTTTCCATTGAAAGTTTAAATTCCTGACATGTAAATGAATTTTGGCCACCAGCTGTGGCATTTGAGTTGTCAGATTTTTCATTCTTGTATGGACCAACTGAGTCAGGTACAGTAGCTCCTATGACCATCATACTGTACCTAAACCAAGGGTTGGAAGTAAAGCCAAAGTATTTTTCTGCACAGGCAGTAGTAGAGACATTAAGGTCTCAGATGTCTGCATAGTTCTTGATTTGTTCCAAATACAGCCTTTGGTCAGTGGCCCCTCTCTCTATGAAATAATAGTGACCTATATCATTTTGTCCATGTGAACTGTGCACTGCCATTACACTAATATCTTTCTGTACATTCTCTCACTCAGTCTTAAAAAGACAAAATCTTGGGCAGAAAGATCACAAGTTCAAGCCCAGCCTGGACCACTTAGCAACTTCGTAAGACTCTATTTCAAAATAAAAAATAAAAAGGGCTAGTCATATAGGTCAGTGCTAAGGCCCTGGGTTCAATCCCCAGCACTGCAGGAAGAAAAAACAACCTGTCAGGATGGTGTTATTATCCTTATTTTACAGATGAGAAAACTGAAAGTGATGATATGAAACAAAACAAATGTAACTAAACTCCAGCAACCAGTAAGGAGTAGGTTATTTTCTCTGAAATGCAGTCTATATTAATTTTTAGATCTAGAGATGAGTTGTCACATGAAGGTAATAAATCAGATTAAAAAGCACCAGAATCTAGGGTCTAAAAAAGCAAGTTCTGTTTCTGGTCCTTCTATGTACCTGTTTCAGGTAACCCTCACCATTGGAGAACTCAATTTTCTCAAATAGGCAAGCTTAGGTTGTCCCTTTGGCCTTAGAAAGTTGGCTTGGGCATTTGATCAAATCATTTTACTTTGTCTAATAGGGACTATTCAGTCTGCTCATGCCACTGGGAAGCAATGCAGGCAGTGCATTTGGAGTGGGGCAGGTAACAGACCCCGAGTTCTTGTTTGACAAGAATCATCACAGAGAACTTAATGCCACTGAACACCAAACTGGGGGATGCATTATAAACACTAAAATAATAAGCAACTTACAAATTATATATTTCCTTTATATTGCCATTTCATTCTTAGATCATATGCATTCATTTGCCCTTCAGTATCGAGGTCAACAAGTTCTAGTTGGTTGTATTTGATGGAGACAGTCCCACCCTCAACATAGTCATCTTTGGTGTTTTAGCAGACTCAGAATCAAATTCATATATCATTCTTCATTTTATTAGACCTCCCTCTATACGTTAGGTCTCCCAGGAAACTCTATACACAAGAGTAAGTTGCTTTCTACTTACTCTTTCTGCTTTTGTGCTACAAATAATTGAACTCTTCTGTAATCATATCAAAAAGATTCTCTCTCTGCTCACTCACATGTTCCAGTTTGACTTACAAGTGACATAATTATTCTAAATATGGTAGGAGAGCACAAAGATGAAAGAGAGAGACTTACTTTGGCCTGTGTGGGAAAGTGGCATCCCACTTTTGACAGGTAACACCGCTTTTGGTCTTGGACATGGTCCCTCTGTAGTTCTTCCCATTCCCCGTCCTGCACTCCAAAAGGTACACTGCAAGAGGAATGCACAGTAGTCAAGACAGCAGACAAGAACTTCACGAAGGTCTACATGGCACAGTCCCCTTGAGAGGAAGAGCTTACAAACCAGGCCACATCTTCCTGCTATCTAAAAGTTGGTCTTTTGCATCTATGAAAGGGCTGCTGTAAATGGAGCCATTTCTTACTCTCATTCATTTATTCCAAAGCTCTTTCCTGAGCCCCTCCAATGCCCAGGCACCACATGGGTGCTGGAACACATGCAATACAAAGCAGGTAAGAGCTCCATCCCCAGGAGCTATGTGCTAGTGGAATCTGGATGATGACAGAAAGGAACCCGGAAGACACATTTCAAGATGAGCTAACCTCATTGTGACACACGTTACAAAGAAAATCAATGGTGATAAGACAGGGAAGGATGAGAATGGGGCCTTTTAGGCAGAAGGACAGTAGGCTTTTCAAAGACCAAAAGAGACGCAAGCCACTTCTAATTCTTCAGGCTCTTGGTAATGCCAAACAGGGCTGTAAAGTGTGTCTGCTGGCAGTATGGGAGATGAAAGCAGGAGGAAGATAAGTTCAAGCCCTGCCTGGGTAATTTAGCAAGTTAGTGAGATCTTGTTTCAAAACATTTACAACTTGAGAGCACAATGTTAAGTGAAGTAAACCAAACACATAAGCTTCAATATCGCATGGTTTGTCCTCTATGAGAAACTCAAAGCATAAATAATTTAAAGAGCAAAACAAAAGCAGATAATAGGAACAAGAGAGAAAGAACTTGCAAGCGTGAAGGGGACTAAAAGATGGGGAGGGGAGAGGAACGAGCTGGGGAGGGAGGGGAAGGAGAGGTAAAAAGAATTAAGATGTGTTAAAATTTTTAATTAAGAAGGGCTAGGGATGCAGCTCAATGTGAATGTGCTGAATGCAATCCCCAGTACCACACACACACACACACACACACACACACACACACACGCACACACACGTCTACTTCGAACGTGTACAGTGAATCTTCTCAGCCAACCTCCACTTAACCTGCTCACCAGTTATTCAGTGGACTCCGTCCTGTTTCAGAAATACAGCATTCACGTGTGACAGAGAGAAAGGGCCAACCCCTAAAGCTTACAGGCCTCTTCTAGCATGTCCACCAGGTGGGCTGTGTAATTCCAGACACCATTTGTATTGTCCAACTTTACAGTTACACTTAACTAAAAACAATCTGAACCGAGGAATGAGTAAAGGGAAAAATGAAGTGATGTTTCCATTTTTAACTAAAACAAAATGAATGCTTCTAATGTCTTCAAAGAGTTGAATCATTTTAAAAATTTCCATCTAATCCACTGAGGGCAACCCTCTCAAACAGCTGACTCTTGAAATTTGAGGGAAAATCATAAAAATCTAAAAGTTTTACAGAATCAGAATGATTATAAATGTCTAGATCTTGCTCTACCTCAAAGATGAGGGAAGTGATCACTGTAGGGTACATGAGGGTGTAGTTCATAGAAGAAAAGCTTTTGTTGGTGACCCTATATTCAAAGGGAAAAGCCTCTGCTATATGTCAGAAGCCAATGTAAGCTTGAGCTTCCATGTTCACTTGAATTTTTCAATTAAATTATATATATATAATTTTAATCAAATTAAAAATATACCTTAAATATATATGTATATATGTGTATATATATGTTTGTGTGTGTATGTGTATGTGTGTGTGTATATATATATATACACACATATATATATATTTAAGGTAGTTCAGGTATATTTATACCATCTTTAAGGTTCCCACTTTTCTAATTCATTAATCAATCACCTGGGGAAGTACTTCTAACATTTCTCTAGCAGAAGTGTTTTGTCAATACTACTACAAAAAGTGATTAAAAAGTATGCTGAAATTTTTTAAGACTTTAAAAAAATTTGAACTTATTATAGTAAAAGACAATCACCAGAAATGATGAGAGAAGTATGTTTAAAACAAAGGAGTGGGGGCTGGGGATTTAGCTCAGCGGCAAAAGCGCCTGCCTGGCAGGTGCAAGGTCGTGAGTTTGGTTCCCGGTACTGGAGAAAAACCCAAAAAATAAAAAAAATAAAAAAAATAAATAAAACAAAGGAGTGTTTTGAGTATTTTGAGGGGGATTAATGGCGATGTGTCTTATAATGCAATAAATTTTAAACTTAAAATTCACTGTATTTTTATCATATCTCATTGATAAACCCTTGGTGGCAATTTCCGTCAAATAAAAATATTACAGTTTCTCCTCCACCTTATTCACACTGGCACCAAGTGACTTCTAGCTCTTCCCCAAGTCAAAATGACCATGAAAGGTAGATGGTTTGAATCAAGACATCAAGGCAGTGACAGCAGTACAACGAAAGGCACTCAGGAAAGAAGACTTCCAGGACTGTTTCAGAAAGTGGAAAGAAGAATGGGTGTGTTCGAAGCAAGTGAGAATATTTTGAGGGGGTTAATGGCAAATGTTTCTTTTACTGTAATAATTTTTTAAACTTAATTGCTCACTATATTTTGTGATCACACCTTGTATGTGTAATGACTGGAACTACGTCTTCACTGAGTTATATGATTATAGTGCATGTGTTATACTCATGGAGAGTGTCAACTTAAGTACTTTAAGAGAGGGAGGCCCAGGAGAAGAGCTTTGAAAGGAGGTGCTGCTCAAGCTAGTAGGCTAGAGGATCTTGGGCAGAAGGGGTGAGCATCTGATGTGTTGTAGGAGTAGAAATAAACAGAGGCCCTTGTATAATGCGATAAACTTACCACACAAGGCTTTGGGGAACTGTCTGGATTTTGTTCTAAGTGCACGGGGAAGAGTTTTAAGCCGGGAATATATATTTCTAAGCGGTCATTGGTGTGGTCTGCAAGCTGGGGAGCAGTGGCCTCTGCAGTCACGATGGTGGCTTGGTTCTGAGGGTGGGGGCAGTGGGGATGGTGACGCGCAGTTGGTGTAAATATGATCTGATACCAATTGCTCCCAGCAGACAGCTGGCTGGTGAAATACCAATGAGTCTATATTCCACAGGAAAGAAACAAGGACCAAAAGTGATTGACCTTTGGTATTTCCCCCTCTCTCTTGTTTGTATGTACCTACCAGAGTTTATATAACCTTTTGCTCCCTTGAAAACAAGCAAATCAAGCTTTCAAACTTCAGACTTGAAACTGAGCCTCATAGTCACTCCCATTTTCCTTCTGGCTAACAATTTACAAGTGACATATTTAAATGTTTGCATTTTTAGACAGAATCTCACTGTACATCCTCTTTTTAAAAATGTAGTGGATGACAGTGTTATTTATCCTACCCTTTGTTCACTATTTATAGGAACAAATAACTTCAAAAGATAAAATTTACATTTAATCTCAAAAGTTCAAGATAAGAAGTAAGGAAAGGAGTATAAGGGAGCACAACTGTAGTCCCAGTACTCTAGCTCTGTGAGGCTGAGATAGGAAGATTCCAAGTTTGAGCCCAGCCTGGGCAACTTAGTGACTTAAAGAGACCCTGTCTCACAATAAAAAATAAAGGAGTGGAGATGTGGCTCAGTGCAAAGCCCTGTGTTCAGTCTCAGTACAAAAGAAAACAAAAAACAGGGTTACAGCTAGTTTAACCCAAGATTAAGCAATGTACAAAAATAATGCTGACTTTAAAAATACTTTTAAAAATCATACTTAAGAGTTTTGAGGTGAGACTCTAAGCAATGTTGCAAGTCATTGTCAACAACACAAGAAATTGGATGTTGCTTGAGCTCTTTAGCTCCTGTGATATGGAATATTTGAAGAGCTACATTAATATTAATGTCTTAATATAGTACCACCCAGCAATAGTAGGTAGGACAGTTTTAAAGTGTTATACATTTATTTAAATCTTCCTACATACTTAATGGCACTTTTTATCCCCCAAAAGACCTGTGATTTCCTCTGGAATCCAGACCACCTCTTCTACTATTAGGGACACTTGATCTGCATTTTAAAGGAAACTATGGAAAAGCAACTGCAACTTTTGCACATTTACAAAAGACACCATTTCAGAAACTGAGGAAAATGCAGACCATAGTTTTTTTTAAAGTGGAACATTTAATAAAAATAAGGTTTTTTGTCCCTATCTAAACGTCCCTGAGTATTAAAACCATCTCAGTATTTCTATCACTCCAAGCTTTAGTCCAGAAGTTAGTGCCCAAAACTGATGCTCACTCAGTAGAACAAGAAGCCAAGATCATAAGCAGTGCTTAGATTCCCAAGACCCCTTCAAAATAAAGCTGCAAACATCCACAAAGACAGACATGGTTTGGTAAACCTAATTCCTTCATTTTTCAAAGGAGAAAAATGAAATGAAAGAGATGAAGTACTGTATTCTAGTTGCCATGATGGCTAGGGGTCAGATTCTAGCCTAACTCAGAATTCAGGTAGGACACTGATGATATCTTCAATCTGTGGCTTCATAACTTTAAAAAAAAAAAAAAAAGGTGAAAGAACAAACACACCCTTCTTTTCAAATAGAACGACGTCTCTCATCCTCACAATCAGCGAGGACTTGCTGTTTTCAGCCATGATCTCACATTGCTGCTCCTTACTGTGATACTGGAATGACCTGCAGAGAAGAATTGAGAAACAATAGAAATTTTCCTTTATTTAAGGGAAGCAAACGCTTTTAGATAAGACATTCAAAAAAATTATGTCTCTTGGTGGATCAAGGAGCTCTGAGTTGTTACATCTCAATTAGTTAATTATAATACAGCCTTGAGCCAGCAGAGTACTGAAAGTGAATACTGTATATCAGCATGGTAGTTATTCTTGTTTTCTTATATCTTTACCTTTACTTTCTCCCTCTCCAAATTTTAACTTCCTCTTTCAGTTGCTGTCTTAGTTACTTTTCTCACTACTGAGACAAAATACCCAGTGCCCAAAGTTAAAGGAGGAAAGGTTTATTTAACTCACAGTTCCTAGAGGTTTCAGCTCATAGTTGGCTGGCTCCAAGGCAGGGTGACAAGGCAGAGAGGGGCATCAGAGAGGAGAAACAGTCTGTGATAACCAAGAAGGCGAGAGCAAACAAGGGACAACCACAGTTCTTTCTATCCCTTATATTTTATCCAGGTTACTTAGGGTGGGCAGCACTCACACCCTTAATCCTAGTGGCCTTGACCATGAATTAGGCCCAGCATCACACACTTCAGATCCAGCCACCTCTAAAAAAGCCCCACCTAGGACCACATGTGGCTTTGTGGGGGACATCTAGATGCCAACTATAACAATTGCTTTTTTTTTTTGAGGCAGGGTCTGTGTAAGTCACTAAATTGCCTGGGCTGGACTTGAATCTGTAATCCTTCTGCCTCAGCCTCTCCACGTGCTGGGGCTGTAGTGGTGTACCACCATTCCCCTTGACTGTTTTGCTCTTTCTTCATCTGTTTCTTAATTAAGTGCCAGAAGTTTGCTCTGGGATTGGGAAGAAGCAACTGCGTTGCGCCCAATCCCAAGACAGGCTGCCTTGGCAATTCCAACCCCCCGTGTTTCCTCTTTAGGTTTTGCCTGCGCACTCCCCCTTGCCATTTCACGCCGGCCATGGATCGAGGTGGTTTCTGCCACTGAAACTTAGGGTGAGGGCTGGATTCCAGTGCAACAGTACTGAGAGGGGGTGGGATCTTCACGAGGTGGTGAGGAAAGGACAGGGTTGATTTTCTGGTACTGGGTGAGCTCTTCCCCCACTCTGGTGGGGCTGTGTTGGTTATACCAGCACTAGTGCTTGTAGAAGGGGCTACCCACCTTTTTCTCTCTCTTGCAGCTGCTTGCTTCTTTACTTTTTGCCATATTGTGGCTCGGAAAGAAGCCCTTGCCCAGTATAGCCACTGAGTCTCAGACTTCCAGCTTCCAGAATCAAGCACCTCTTTCTTTTATAAAACGCCCAGTCCTAGGTATTTTATTACAACAGAAAACAGGCCAAGAAAACCTCTCCCTTCCCTCTCTGCATAATCGTGCCATGAGTGCTGAGCCTGGTGCTCAAGGCCATCCACAGCCTGATCATGAGCCCCTTGCTTCAGTCAGCTCTCACATAGTCCCTACCACAGGCACAGGCTGTGCTTTCCCCCTGCTGGACACCTGCCTGCCTCCTGGTGTAGTCAAGTCTCACTCACCCTCCAAGCCCAGAGCGGCTCCTTCTCCTCCCTGATAGCTTCTCTAGCTGTCTCAACCCTTAGGAGTTATCTTTCCTTGGAACCTCTATAGGGAGTGCATGAGTCATGCCCTTAACAATACCCTCTTTTGGCTGTCTTTTATTTTTTTTTCATCATCATTTTTGGTTTCTTAGGACCATAAATACAAAAGGGCAGGCATTGGACCCTGTGTTTCTGGCTTTTTGCTCCTTCAGCTGTATGTAAAATACTTTCATTCACACGATCCTCAATACATATTAATTGCTGCTGATGCTAAAAATTGGAGCTCAGAACAATATCTGCTAATTTTATGTCACATATAAAATGAATAATTTCTATTTTGGGTATTTCTAACAACCCTTAACAAAAAGTTATTAGGGTTTCAGATACTGTGAGCAAATACAGTTGCAAATTCTGATCTTATAAACTCCTCTTTCTTATACTAAATCCATGAGTAAGTTTCTTGCCATCAAAATAATAGCATTTTAAGCAGTAAGATTTCTGCATAGGTGCAATGATAATGAAAATACCTGCAAACAAACTCCGTTTCTGCCTCACATTTTGCTGCACATTCATCTATGCTTGCTGTTGTTAGCTGCTTCTTGGTGAGACTGACCAGTGAGGCCCCGTGGGTATTTTCATAGTCATCCAGGGAATTTCCTTGACCTAAAAGTTGAAGATAAAAATAGAACTGATCAAATTAGCCAATACTACTGTTGAACTATCCTAGTTTTTTAACCTATTTTTTTTGCATCAACCAAATAAAACTTGCTGCTTTACTGGAAGCAGGATAGGTTGCCATAAATAAAAAATGTTTAGTCAGGAAAACAGTTCTATTAACATAGAATAGTATATTAAAGGAACTAGATGGATGGATAGGTACAGTAACAATGTACTATACTAATGGTTATGGAAGTTTAAATAAGAATAAGTTTTATTGTCTTATTGATTACCATGTCATGATAAGGTAGGAAGACACCATCAAGGACAACTGTATTTCTAAAATTGGTGCTGACTTGTCCACGTCCAGGTATAAGTAAAACTTGGAGGCTGTTGTTTGATTTCCAACAATATATGCTTCCCACAGTAATGATTTTTTGTTCATGATGGTGACAGGTACTGTATCTGGAATTTCTGAGGAAGCTATAAAAAGCAGAGTCTGGGAAAAATACTGGCCTTGACTTCTCTGTGAGGTAAAATCTGAGGGAAAGAGTTTGTTGCTTCCCCCTTGTCACTGCAGAGTGTGGCCAAGGGGCCCCCGCCATGGTCCCACTGTGAGGCTGCAAAACTTTCCCTGTTCTTAGGCTCCATGCAGCATCTGCCTAGCCTAGAAAGCCTGATTTCAAGCCTGGAGATGCCAGTTCATATGCTTTCTGTGTAAATGCTAGTGATTTTCACAGGAATCGGGGGCAAAAAGAGGTGAAATGAAATGAACACAGTAAAGTTTCCATGGGACTAGGTAATGTGGCAGTCTTGACCATGAAGGGAAGTGGCAGGGACCAAAGCCAGACTGTGCTAAAGGGTCACCAGGATAGGAAGTGGGAACAGCAGGAGAGAACAGATAACCGAAACCACCCTCAGAGGCCGCCTTTTCCCTGCCCCTGCTGCTCATCTCTCCTCAGCTGAAGACCTTCAAGCTGGGTGGGTGGACTATTGACATAAAGTTGGCTGATACATTTTACACTCTCAAAACACTTGATAAATGTGTGAAAGATAACAGAGGATCGGGGATATAGCTCAGTAGCACAGCACCAGCCTGGCAAGTGTAAGGTCATGAGTTCGATTCCAGGTACCAAAAAATAAAAAAAAAAAAAGATAATAGAGAAAAAGATAGCTTAGGCCCATATTCATGTTGTTAACCTTGTTTTTCTTTCAGTTTGAACTCTCACCTTAAAGAAGAGTTATGCTTTAGTAAGTTCTATAGATCAGGATATGGTTTGAAAAATACACAGTAAATCTATAAAGTGAATCCTACAAGGAGTGAAGAGTTCTTGGAAAGTGTACCAGGGCAGGATACCAAGGATATTTAAACAAAGAAATTTCCCATTTATGAGATCTTTAAATTACAGCTCCTGAGAGCCACCTTAGGAGCTGATATCCTAAAGAAATATCCCTAAAGAACATCATTTTTCTTTTATATTTGAATATTGTTCCCCAAATCTTTTTTCCTCTTATTCACTTTCATGGCTCATATGATCATAGGGTTTAGTACAATTTGTTGATAAAGAGACATTAAGCAAATCTTTCCATAGGAAAACTATTTTTATATTATTGGCTAAATGTAGATGTGTACTGAGATCAAAGCAATACATTTTACATGATATGAGATTTTTTTCCCATTACTGGTGTGAAAAAAATAGATATATATGTATGTTATACACACCTACTTGTGTGTAAAAAAAAAAAACCCAAAACTTAAGAGCCTGTGAAACACAACATATTTACCCATCTCTCACAGAGTAACTATAAAAGAAATTCTTTTCTTTCCCAGTCATTTCTGCACAGAGAGAAATATATGGGAGAAAGATATGGGAAAATGACAGTCATTTCTACAGAAAATGAGAGTAAATACTTTCCTCTAAAAAAAGAGTTTATGGAAGAATTTTGCCCCCTAAATTGGCTCAGACATATGTGAATCATGATGCAGAGGTGTTTGTCCCAATCATGGGGTGCAGCCCTATAAGTCCAGAGTGTCCTCAGTCCAAGTTGGGGGGTTGAAATAGCATGTGAACATATGCACCCCTCCACATACACATGCATACAGATTTCCCCACAAACCCTTTTTTTTTTTTGGTACTGGGAATCGAACTCAGGACCTTGTGCTTGCCAGGCAGGTGCTTGCGCCACTGAGCTATGTCCCAGGCCCCCAAAATCCTTTTGTTTAATCTTCTCCTACTCTGGATTTTCTTTGATATTTCTTTGAATGCTTTCTGTTAAATTCAAATGTATTTGACTATGAAGTACAACTTATAAAATTTTATCTCATAATTCATAAATTGCATTTTAAGTATTTATATATTGTTAATATGAAGAACTACAAGTATGATGTTTGATACCAATATATGATATGTCTAAAACAGTAAATCTATAAAGACAGAAAGTTGATTAAAGATTTTCTGTGGCTACAGAGAGTGGAGTTTCTTTTGAGGGTAATGAAATTGCTCTGAACTTCATTGTGGTGATGACTGAGAAACTGAATGTACTAAAAGCCACTGGATCATCTGCCTCTGGTGGCTTAATTATGGAGTATGTGAATTCTATCTCATTAAATTTGTTTTAAAAGCCAAACAACTGCACATATTTAAAATATGTAGCTTTTAAAATTTTAGCTGGGAATGGTGCCATAGGCCTGTAATCCCAGCTACTCAGGAGGTTGAGGCAGCAGGGTTGAGAGTTTAAGGCCAGCCTGGGCCATATAGCAAGACCCTATTTCCAAGACAAAATATTTGGGGTGTTGTGGCACACACCTATAATCCCAGCACTTGGGAGGCAGAGGCAGGAGGATCACTGTGAGCTCAAGGCCAGCCTAGGCTACACAGTGAGACTCTGTCTCAAAAAGCCAAAACAAACAAACAACTTTAAAGAAAGCTGGAAAAGGGACAACACTAATTTTTATTCTTGGAAAGTCCTAGTTTAAGGAGGTTTCTTCATCTCCTTAATTTAGGAGTTTGGTTAATAGGCAAATAAGATAAATTTCCTAAGTCAAGACTTCCTGCCTCATGTACCATTAACTACATAAATTAGCATTAGTAGAGGACACACAAAAAGAGACACATAGAAATACACACAATGCACATATTATAAAACTGTGCCTGGCCTATCCCACACCCTAAACAAACACTTACTGAATTATTGTACCTAATATCATCTCAAAAACAGATGCATGTGACTTCTCTAGGCATAAGATGCAAATATAGAGCTATGGAAAGACTTCCTTAAACCATAACGGAAATGCTGAGTCCAAATACATAGGTTGGTCAAGGAATAAAATACACTTAAAGAGGTATTTAATTGCTTAAATTTGGAAGTGATGAGACTATGATAGCTTAACAAAATGATATAATACCAAAGTATAGTACAACAACTCTTGATAATCTCCTACCTCTTTTGTCTGTAACTCATTATTATTTGTCTATTTGTTTTCCTGAGAAACTATTTTGTAGATAACAATATGTAAAACAATAACCATTGATAATTTCCTACCATTTTGTCTGTAATTTGCTAAGTCCCCCCATTATTATGTTATCCTTCTTTTACTCTTTAAAATAAAAAAAAAACAAACAAAATGATATAAATTAACCAAACTGAGAACCAGCCAAAGAGAATAATCACCTTTTGGGGTTAAGTTATATTGGCAGTTTTTTCAATTAAAATTGCCAGGATTTGGGGCTAGTCATTTGGATTTGAAAAGTCACCCATGATTGTCCCTGCCCATCCTGGCAATATTCATAGGGAATTGAAATACATAGCTTGAAGAATTCCTCAATCTTGTATTAGATTTTGAATTGAAAAATATCATGAATCAAAAGCTCAATTAAATAAGATGTATGTAAAACTATAGGTGTCTAATTTTAATATATTGCTAGGAAAAAATAATGATTAAACTTTCTTCAAATCTGTAAGTCTTACCTGATTTCAGAAATAAAAGAAGTAGCAGGATTACTTCCTTGTGGTCCATGGTGGAACTGGCTGGTGGTGTCCGGAAAACGGTGTCCCAATCCTGAGATATTATTGACTTACAAGAGATCAAACTCATCCGCAAACAAGATAGGCAAATGGGGTTAATTATTCTTAGAGGGCCCTGCCACCAAACACAGAAAGGGGCAAACACTACCCAGAACAGGGGAGCTTACAACACATTTGAGAGCAGCATCAGCAGCAGATGCTGGGAAGGGGTGGAAGCAGCTGCCCCCTGCTTGCCTTTCTCTTCATGCCCCTCTCACCCCAGCTTTCTTCTTTTCCATTTCCTTCCCTCTTGTTTCACGCCTCTTTTAGATAAAAAAAAAAAAAAAAAGAGCTCCCTTTGCTGTGCACATTCCAAAAGCCATACTCTTCCAAGTGGTCCGTATCCACAGTCTTACCAACCTTTTCAACAAGCAATGTTATCACTGTCCCCATTTTAAGGTGGGAAAACTGAGGCTTTCCCACGGTTGCACAGCTAGTTGGGGAGAAAGCTAATACGTTCAAACAACTTAGGTCCCAGACAGCAAACAGGCTAAGGCATTATTGTTAACATCCTCACATCCTACCAGTGCTGAAATTACAATGTAAGTAAAAATAGTTTATTTTATCAAAATTTCTTTATCCCCAGTGGACTTACATGTTTTTATAATTATAAAATTTTAATTATTATTTTATTTAAATTAAACATATTTTAACTTGGTAGATAAGAATATAAAAAGTATACATATTAATGAGGTGACATGTAATGTTTCAATGCCTAGATACATTTTGTAATGTTTACAAGTTGGGGTTTTTGTTTTTTGTTTTTTGTGGTGCTGGGGATCAAACACACGGCCTTGTACAATGCTAGGCAAGTACTCTACCACTGAGTTACATCCTGGCCCTGTTGTGTGATGCTTAAATCAGATCAAACATATCTACCACCTCAAACATTTACCATTTATTTCATAATTATAAATTATGATGTAAAATATTGATCTTCTTCTAACATCCACTGAATTCACAGTGCTTTATATTCTCATCTTCATGGAATGAAGAAAGAGTGGTGATGCTGAGTTGAAAGAGACAGTCTCAACTTTAATTGTTGAATCTATACTTTCCCCCAGCTTAAGGTTAGACTGACCAGGAGATGCCTGCCTTAAAACTCCTATTTTAGTGTTCGAAAATACTTAGATATAAACAGACATTTCTATTTTAAAGCATGAAGGACAACAAAGTATGCACTCCTCTTTCCCATGTGAACCAGTAAAGAATCAAGGTGGGGTGTGGGTGCCAGATTGTGCTGGCAGAAGCTCCGCAGAATCCCTTGGGACTGAAACACTGTGCAGAATATTCAAGACCAAAACCTCCTGGAGAGTGAGAGGAAGGCACCAGGCCAGGGGCAGGGGCACCTGGTTGCATCTGCGGATCATCTAGTTTAGCCTCGCTTCTCCTTCTCTTTCTCCTCCTCCCCTTCTTCCTCCTCCTCCTTCTGACACACTCACCTTCTATCTGCTTCCTCAAACTTGCTGGCCCGTTTTTTGGGGAGGGCATAGCAGGCAGAAGCAAGATGAGAAATCAGTAGTGGGCAGACCTTTTTCTTAAAATGATGTGAAAGGTCTTTTAGGCAGCCATTGTTAGTGTGGTTGAGAAAATGTTTTGGGAAAAGAAAAAATCCAGTTCTACAAGGATATAATGCTCTCAGTATGTATTTCTTTCCACTTAAAATATTATTTTACCACTTCCTTGTGAATAAGGCACAACTTACTGTGTACCAGACTGTGTTCAGCTCCGTCAGGATTGTTCTAGAAATACAAACCGCAGTGTCTCCCCTTCTCTGCTCGCCACCCTGAAGGACTTCTTCCCCTCAACTTCACGGCGACCCCACTGCTGCGCTTGGAGCCAGAGACAAGGACGTCCAAATAGAAAGAGAGATGGACCCAGGGTCCTCAGCTCTGCCTAGCCTCGGCCTCCTTGTGACATCCACACAGGCTTGCCAAGAACAGGAAGGCACCTTTCCTCTTGCTTTCTCCCAGGGTTGAAAAAGCTAATTCCTTACAAGAGAGTCCCAACCACAAGGAAAGGTCACCCTTCCTGGGAGAGGGGAATGGAATCTACCTTCAGTCTCACCTGAGGGGGATCTGCCAGGTGAAAATGACATGTGATCCCCAAGTGTGGACCTGCACTGCGGGCCCAACAAGTACACCTGCCAGCTCCTTCCCACATGGATCTGCCACCTTCCGCTGGCCCCAGGCTCAGCCGTCTGTAAATCACCATTCTAGGAAGGTCTTTCCACACATGAGCCTCTTTGAAGAGCCCAAATAAAACATTTCATTTCAAAATGAAAACAGCGAAAAATTCCTCAACCAGGGACTTATGGAAAGCCTCCCTTGCTGTTTGGGGTTCTTAGCAAGCTCAGCTTTGCCCCTGATGCCCATTTACAGATTGCTTCTACATATTGGTTTCTTAGGGCAGATACCTGGGAGACATATTCTACTTGATGTGGAGGTGGTTGTCACTTCTTCATTTGACCTTTTTCTGCTGTTTGCTAACAAAGGTTCACCAGCTCCAAGGCCCATGTAATAAGAGGCTTACCAGCCCTCACCTCTGGGAAAGAGGTCACAAGCTGCCCTGTTAGCACATGGGTTAAAGTATAACCCATGAAGAGATACCTTCCAATCAGGGAAAACTGATATTCCTTCAGTGTTCAGTGAAGTGACATTTTTTTCTTTTCTTTTCTTTTTTTATAAGTACATGTTTGCAGTACATAATGATTACATTTATCATGGGAAGTTAGTACATGTACAAAATACATCTTAATTCTTTTTGTGTCCCCTACCCTTCCCATCCCTCCCTGTTCCTTCCAACTCTTGGTTCCCTTCTCATTTGCAAAAGATCTATTTCCATTTTTTTTTTCAGTTCTTTTTTTCTATTTCCCCTCCTTCCCCTTCCTCCAGCCTCCCTCTATCTCTTATACCCCTTCACACTGAAAAAGATCTCCTTACTTCCTGTTATGTTTTATTTTGCTGTTTATATTTTGGGTTTCTTGTGTAAGAGAACCTATGTGGTATTTAAGTTTGTGTGTCTGATGTGTTTCACTCAGTATGTTATGTCAGGGTGGATCCATTTTCCTGTGAATGCCTCAAGTCTATCCTTCTGTATGGCACAGTCACGGTCCATTGTGTATAAAAATACAATGTCTTCTTTATTCATTTATCTGTTGATGAGCATACACTGTAGGCCATTTCCCAATTCAGTTATTTTAAATTGTGCTGCAGAAAGTCAGTTTTCATTCACCATCTCCTTACCAGACTTCTTATATGCTTAAGAAGAAGATTAGTTAGATGTCGTGGTACATGCCTATAATCCTGGCTCCCTAGGAGGAGGATCAATAATAGTTCAAGCCCAGCCTCGGTAACTTAGTGACTCAACAAGATCCTGTCTCTAAGTTTAAAAAATAGAAAGGGATGGGATGTAGATCAGTTCGAAGACCTTGAATTCAATACTAGTACCAAGAAGAGTGGGTGAGAGGGCGAGGAAGGGAGGAAGAAGGGGAGGATGAGCAAAGCAGAGGGTCAGTCAGTCCTGGATGACTCAGCTGCACTAAGCCAGAAAACAGCAAGGCCTTCCCTGCTCTGAAGTCCAGACTCTGTAAGGACAAAACAGAGCTAGTCTGAGCCTCCCTTTCCACCTGTCACTCGGTTATAGCTGAGACCCAGCGTGCCCCCTGAAGAGCTCATTGTGTTGAAGGCTCCATTGCTGACGGGCTGGTGGGAAGTGACTGGATCATGAGGACTCTAACTTTACAGCCCTCCTGATTCAACCTCTGCCAAAAGCCCCACCTCTGAATGTTACTGCACTGGGGACCAAGCCTTTGATGCACAAGCCTTTGAGGAACACTGCATATCCAAACTACAGTATGACATCTGTAGTTTTCCATGTGCACAAAATATAAAGTAAATACATGTGTATAAAGTTGTATATGAATATATACTGGATATATCCAGATGGTTGTACATAGGTGTGTGTATTTGGATATGGAGTGTACATTTTAAGAGGATCTAAGTGATAGAAGAGCCCCGGTAATAAAGAAAACTTGTTCCAAGAGAGTCAACGTTATTATGGATGTTAACGGGGGTGTGGAAACTCTGCCTGTCTGATTCCTGTGAGCTCAGGGAAGAGGAGAGGGGAGGGGAAGGGGGGTTTTCAGTGTGTGCAGTGTGTGGCACTGTGCTGGATGCGGGAGATCAAGAGTAAATAAGCATTGCTTCTGTCCTCACAGAGGTGAGGGATTCTAAAGGCACAGAAGGCGGAGATGGGAGCACCCTGCAAGAAGGCCAGAGAGAAAGAGAACTGGTGGATTAGGGAGCTGCGCAGAAAGGAGAGGTGACTGGATTGCAGATCTGACTGAGTGGAGGGACTGAAGCTAAGGATACCACCAAAATCTCTGACATGGTGGATGGTTATTGGTATCATTCATTGAGAAGGAACACAGAGGGAGTAAGATGAATTTACCTGGAGACATGTTATGTTTTGGAACTTGTGGAAATTTCCAGAAGGAGTTAGATATTTGAGTCCAGAATGGGGCTTAGAAAACAATAGCAGATGAAATAGGCCTCTATGTTTATAAATAAAGTTTTATTGGGATTCAGCCACACCCATTTATTTAATATTGTCTATGGCTGCATTGGCACTACAATGGTGCAGCCGAGTAGATGTGACAGAGATAGTATTGTGGCTGGCGAGCCTGAATGATATCTCTTGTCATTCTCTTTACAGAAGAAGTTGGTTCTGGGTCTGGAGCCCAGGAAAGAGGTGGAGGATGTGCGGGGGATGTGGAGTCAAGAGCTGAGGGCAGACACAAGGTACTGAAACATCGGGAGTGCATGAGATCACCAGAGAGAAGATAAGGGGCCCTGGGGTCAGACCCTCATGACACCAGGAAACAGAAGCAGAGGATTCTTTAGAGGCAAATGACAGGTTAGCCAGGCAGGAACACTGACACTGAGAGGCCCAGGGAATGAGAATGTGAAAAAGGCAGGAGCGGCCAACAGGGCCACGGGCTTCTGGG